TTATGAACGTCACATGTGGTTGTGGTCATAAAAATAGTCCATAATTTAATAAATGTTATCCATCTCCAGGTAAGTTTTGGAGAATTTAGGCTCATATGCTTCGCATGCAACTCTAAAGTTTTATTCACTTTCGACTACTTCTATTTCTAGTACTGGAGAAACAAGACGCGCAATCAACAACCATGGTCGGCCGCCTTTTACACACTCGGTGTATTTTATGTCGCTGATTGGCATCAGGTTCATAATGGGCTGAAAGGTACCGAAGCCTTGGATTCTAATGGAACAACTACTTAATTATATCACTTTCAGCCAACAGAAACTATACAAGATATTTTAACAATTATCAATTGAACTTAAGAAACACAGTCCGCCAGCTTTCCTTGAAAAGTGTTTGGGGACATCACCGATGTTAAGTGTTGACGGTGGAATTTCGTCAACAAAACCGTGCCGGATTACCCACAGTGGCCTGTTGGGTTACCGGTTCAGAACTAGTATTTTTGCTGAATATGAAAGTGTGATCGAATTTTTTTGGTTGGTTATTGAATGAAAACACTATATCTCATGCACTAAATAAAAGACACCAAGAATTTAAAGTGGTTCACCCTTCTCAAATAAGAGCTACATCCACTGTATTTTTATTGCTATTGGTTCATATGTTTACAAGAGGATTCTAACATGTTTCAGGCCAACCCCTTCTCTCAGGGGGTTCTCCTTATATAGCCTAAGGGTGGGCGGTTTGGACTAGTGGGCTTTTCCTAAGTGGGCCCATTTACTCGAGTAGCCTATTGCCTTATCTGCCAAGCCCGTAGCCTGCCAACACGTTTTGGACTGTTCACTCATCCAATTTGTCCCCTTATTACGGCTCTGCAGTCCCTCTATAATACCTTTTGACTTATGCCAGGCAGTTTAAGGGGCTTGTAATCATTTCCTGTGCAACTGACCTCCTCCAAACTCATATGCAACTTTGGGATATTCAACCAGTCACCTCAGGGGCCTCGGGATGAGGAGTCGCTGTTAGAGCTTACCCTCTGCACATGCCCTGACATCTGCCAAGGGTGGCTTTCCACGGTCGACTCTATCGCGCTACTTTACCCACTGGTTTCACAGACATCGACTGTGTATATGGTTGACGGTCTCAGTCTTGTATGCTCGACTCTCTTGCTACTCGGGAGGGACCAGTAGGCCTTAGACGTTGAGGGTTACATGACGTGACAGGCACGGGGGCCACGTGTGGCTTGCTCATTGTTTGACGTGTCGTGTGTGAAATTCCCACACAATAGCTACCCCGCAGGTCGAGGCTTTTCTTTGAACTGCCTCGAGCTAGGTCTGGGATCTGCACTGGCTCTCTTGTTTGCTTCGGGCGCGGGAGCCTAGCTATGAACCTCTTTTGCAATGATGAGCCTGGCGCTGCGGTTCCCCTCGAGAAGCGTAAACATCGCGTCTGTCCAATCGCCCTGCTGACGTGGTCATCCGTTCAAATGAGTGAACTCTGGCCACTGGATCACGACCCCTTAGCTTCCCGCCTTTCCCCCAGCCATTGGATCATGCTCCTGCGCTCCCATCGTTGGATGAAAACGTACCTGATCGGACAGCTGGGGGTCAAGGCCCTCGGGTTAGTATAAATAGGTCTATTCGTGCCCGAACCACTCGAAGAACACCTTGAAGCGGTCGAAACTCTGCCAAAATTCCTCTAGAGCCATTTTTGCCTTGCCATTTCGCAGACCACCAGCGGCATCCTTCTCAAGAACTCATACACCTATCCTGCTCCTAATTCCTTAGTAAGCATCTTCTCAAACTCCCTTTTCACTAATCCTATTTCTCATATTTGGAATGTGGTGGATTGTTTTCCAAGTGGTGGGAGTAATTGGGAATGGCACGATAGGAGAGGTTAGAACCCGTGTTTGGTAGTGTTTGCCATGTCTTGGACTGGCCGTAGGAGTTTAGAGTAGTTCTGGGTTTTTGTTTGGCATTCTGGGTTTGTTTGAATGGTCGTCGCTCTGCTTGAGTAGTCTCCGGTTCAGTTCATGCCCAGATTTGAACTGTCGTCGCTTTAACCTCAATTTTAACCGATAAACGTATCGGTCTTTAAACGTCGAGCCAACTTTCCTTCCCCTATCGACTTATAGGAGCTGACCTTAGATTTTTCCTTTTCAGTAATGGCTTCTAGAGGGATAAAACGTCGAGGGGGATCGTCTTCCATGCCTCTCGTGAGGTCGGATCCAACGCCAGCTGCTGAGTCTCCCTCCTATTCTACCGCCAATGATTCACTTCTGATGGAGATTGAGCGTTACGTTTCTGACCCATGTGATGATGAGGACATCGTCGATCGCCTGGTCGAGGGTGGCGCCGCCTCTCCCAGCAGCAACGGCTCTTTGGTAAGAGGCGTCCTATTTGGCAGTAGCGGCTGACTCACGGGTGTCCTTGTGGCCTCGATAGGAGCAGACGAGAATCGACCGATTTTTACTGCCGACTTCGTCGTTCTGAAGACACGGAAGAGGGACATCGTCCAAGCACTCAAGAAAGGACGCGTCGACAGCCGGTGGTTCGAATATCTTCTACCGGATTCGCACTTTAGGGTGAGCCAACCGCCTCCGGGCTACATGTCCGTATACACTCGGGCCTTCACGGCAGGGATGACACTCCCCATTCATCCCTTTGTCAAGTCATTGTGTGACCTCCATGGCATCTCCCCCACACAACTGGCCCCAAACTTTTGGTACATATTTGCCAGTATGTGGATTTTTTGGGACCAAAGGTTTGACATAGATCTGCCTTTGGACGAATTTCTTTTTGTATATAAGTTATGCCAGACCCCTAGGTGTGATGGCTAGTACTTTTTGGGTGGCCACGGTCGATCCCAGCCTGCTTTAGGAAAGTTAATACTGGGGTTACCCTCATCGTCACATGCCTGGAAGCCGATGTTTTTTATGGTGAAGGGCATGTTCGACGTTCACCCCGTTGACCCGCCTTTTAAGCGCCGAGGCGTGAGTACATCTTTTGGAACACTGAGTGAGTTGCCTTCGATCGCTTGTCTTCAGTACTTGTCCTTTTATTATATACTGCTGACTCTTTTTGCTCTGTAGTTCCTCAGGATTGCCTTCAACTATCTGGGAATCGCCTTGTGAGGGTGAAGAAGGCCTTCCTCTTCCCAAAGTCCTTTTGCCACGTCAGCACTTTGCTAACACGAGAGAACTTGGAGAGCTTTGGTTTGCTGCTTTCCCTTCCTTCCCCTGACAATACCGCCGAGGTCAATGATTTCTTCAACTTCACGGCCGGAGGTTAGTTTCAGTGTTTTTTTATTTATTTTTATTTTTTTTAAAACGTGTCGTCGGTATGTATCTCTGACTTTGGTTGCGGCGTAGATATGAAGAAATTACAGCTACGCATGCCTGGCGAGAAGAGACGTTCCAAGAAGGAGACGCCTAGTGAGCAGTCGAGTGATCGACCTGCGGCCAATGTCCTGCTGAGGCTCCCATCCACCGTCGAGCCCTCACTTTCCCGGGGGGTGCCGAGGCAGAAGAGGCCTCGACTGTCTGACACCGAACCATCACCGATGATCGATATCACTGATGCTCCCGAGGCCCCTCCATCCCAAGAGGCCTACTGCTTCCTGGGGAAAGGGTCCTTGACCCACAGTTCTTTGTTCCTGATGTTGCCCCTACCCAGATTGAAGCGGCACTAAGCCTGCCCCCACGCTTTTCCGTCGTCTTCTAGGCTCTATACGAGTCCTTCTTCGAGCAGGACTGGGTTGGCATGACTCGGGCTTCCTTGGTCAGCCGCACGCGCCAACAGATCTCCCTCCAGATCCATGTACGTTTTGCCCCGTGTCATGCATTTTGGTCTTCCTCTCTCTTTCCTTTTTTTCTTATCTTTGATTCTTTTTGACTTGGCAGTCCCTCGTCCTTTCTATTCTCAACTTCTTGGACCTAGTTAAGGTGGACGAGAGAAGTAGGGGAATGGACCGCGTCGAGGCTCGTTTAAAGGCTCTCCTGAAAAAGGAAAAAAGATGGTCACGAGGAGACTTAAAAGGAGCTTACCTGTGTCTCCAAAGAGTTGGAGGAAGTGAAAGCCGATCTAGAGCGTGCCAAGAAGGAGGCTGAACGCGTTCGCAAAGAGGCTGCCAACTCTAAAAATATCTTCCGAAAGGAGGGATATGACCTTGGTAAGCATGAGGGATATGACCTGGGCAAGGCGGTGCCAGTTAAGGAGTTTGTGGCTTCTGTCGAGTTTGCCCAAAATAATGCGGTTGTCGCTGCAAGGGCCGTCGAGGATTTCAAAGCCTCTGAGGAGTTGCATGACATGCGTGCCAGTGACATGCTGTTAGTTGGCAAGTAGATCGTAGCAAGGATCAACAGGCATTTGCTTGGCCTCGACTTGGACTTCCTCTATGAGCCCGCTTCAGATGATGAGGGTTCTCCTACCGAGGGTGAGGGCGATGATGGCAACGGTGGAACCGTGGATACGGCAGCTGATGGTGGCGAGGGCCACCCAGGCGGTGGTAGCCAAGGCGGTGGTAGCCAAGGCGGTGGCAGCCAGGGCGGGGGCAGGCCAGGGGGGGGGCG